GATGTCAGAGATCTATTAGGTCATCTTGTTCATGTATATAGCCATTCTAAATACATATGTTTCACTGTGAAGTGTACACCATAGAAATTTTGCAGCTAAAAAGCTGCATGGTAAATTCCTAGGCAGGTGGATTATGGGGGGTAATAAATAAACCCTGGCTAGTGAAGTCAGAACTACTTTAACATTAACAGATGCCTGGAGCAATGAATTAGTGTTTTAAAGGTTTTGCATAATGTCTGCAGCAGTAAAATGTAAAGAGGAATCTGTTTTTCCCACCTAGCACCATCTGTTATTTATAACCATCAGTAATAGCTAAATTGTTCCTGTTAGTTACAGGAGCAAATTAGTTTTATTTTTAATTGTTTCTCCCCTCATGTGGTAGGTATTTTATATGAGGATAAGAACTGTGATCACTTGGAAGAGAAGTGGAAAGTTAGGACTTTTCCACATATCCTGATACTAGGTATAAATCACCTTTCTTTATATAGGGAAACTAGTTATAAATAACTCAGTAGGTAGCCTTTCACTAAAAGTGTGCTCCAGCTACTAGAAAACTTGTCATTCAGCAAGACTTCCTGCTATTATGATTAATCCATACGGTTTTATAATCCTTCGTTAACACTTTGCCCAGTGTATTTAATGGACTATGCCCACCCAGTTTTTCTTGTGTAAAATACTGCATTGATTTCAGTGGGGAGTTTGGATTAGAAATTGACAGCACAAGCCAGTCCAGTGTGTGTAATTCCTAGTGCTCTACGCAACAGTGGTTAGTCTGTTTCAGATCTGATCTTTTAAGTGGCTCTTCATTGCTGTCCTTCAGCTCCTGGGCTTTCTCCTTGTCTTCAGGGATGAGAGACAGAGAATTTAGGTACACACTTGTGGCCCAGAGAAAGGGGCTGAGTCAAAGGACAGATTTTCAATAGGTGAGATACTCTTTCAGTCCACCTGAGGGAGCTGGATGGCTGGGACCCTCACTGGGAAGCTTAATACTGGTCAAAAGAAAGTGGAAAGAAATGGGGCTATGGCTCTGCTCCTCTCTTCATGCTGACCTGTGGAGCTGGCTGGCTAAAGAAGGAAGAGGATGCTACCTTGCACCCTTGATGGACCATCCAGCAGACACTCTAAGTCTGCTCAGTGGTGGCTGTGAGCTACGTTTCCTGTAAGCTGTGTGCCTGTGTGGCTGCTCAGGAGAGATTCTGATGCCACCCAGCTGATCAGCAGAGCACCCTCAGCTAGTTTTTCTGTTTCTACTGGCGGTGCACATCCACACGTGTCGGTGCACATATAATTTATTCTGTACATGGATGGAAAAAATCCACACATGGATGGAAGAGATTATCGAGAGCATTGACTGTGATGTCTCAGAAAATCAGGTAGTTCAGGTTGGGCAGCCAAAATTAGTTGAATGCCTTTGCAAATGTTATAATTTTCCCAACCAGCAGGCCTCAGTACTGTACATGTGCTGTAGTCTCTCTTCAGGGAAGCTTCCTCTCTGTTATGCTCTCCCGTTTGCTCTTTTATCCTTTTAATTTCCTTCTTTCTTAACGGCAAGTCAGGTCAAATTACCAAGGTTTCCTATTGCAGGCAGCAGCTCCATGTGGAAGGAGGAATTCTTGCCTAATGGTGCGACACAGCTTCGCTGACTTGTGAATGTTCTCAGCACTGGCTGGCCCATGTGCAGTTAGCATTCTCTCCCCAATTTCTGTGGGAATATCAGCACTGCTGCCTCAGCAGGGAAATGGCTTTTCACCTCCAGGCTTTCACATAGGGCCATTATTGTGATTAGAAAAGGAATCATTTTATAAAGATAATACAGTAAAACCTGTGTTATCTGGCACGCCCAGGAATTAGGGCGTGCTGGTAACCTAAAAATTCTGGGTATCTGAGGGGCGGGGGGCAGGAGCTGTGTGGTGCCTACGGAGGGCATTTGGGAGCCACAGGAGCTATGCAGGGGCTGGGATGTGGCCTGCTGGGGGGGCCACCAGCCGCAAGAGAGGGGGTTGGGATGCAGCCTAGTGAGGGGGAATGGAATGCGAGGGGCGAGGGGAAGAGACGGCGGAGGCCATGAGGGGAGCCAAGATGCTTGCTGCATGCTTCCGGCTGCCGTTCGCCCCTCCCCCAGGTACGTGCTGCACACTCGTCTGAGGAGTGGCCTGGCACTTAAAGGGGCAGTTTCCTTTTTTTGTTTTTTGTTTTGCTTTTCCCGGCATCAGAAATTTGCTGGTTTCTACAGTTTTCCGGATGCCTAAGTTCCAAATAGCGCAGGTTTTACTCTACTTGGCATTTCCATGGCAACTTCCTTCCCAAGATCTCAAAGCACTTTTCTTGGCTAAATGAATGACATGAGGAGGTGTGTATTTCAGGACCACACTGTTTCTCTTTTTACTTGTTTTATGCCAGCAGAACTCCACTGACTTCACAATAGTTACTCCTGACTATGCTGTGAGGAAAATCAGGGCCACGGCATATGAAAAATGCCATCTTCAACAATGGGCACTGACGAAGAGCAAGGATCTTAGGTTTGTAAAGAAGTTAATACTACAGACTTTGGAATTACAACCTCTCCTCCCCACAGTTTGTATGTTTCATACTCTGGTAAGCAAATACAATGATGTTGAAACCTTTTAAAATATTTTTTATATTTCCCCCCTGACGTACAACTGTTTCATGCTTTCTGATCACAACATTTGTGAATATCAAAATAACATAGGGAAGAGGTTCCCAATTTGAATTCTGCGTACTGCAGTGGTTTGCCGAGCACTTGCTGGTAGTCTGTAGCAAGACAGAGCTGATCACATAATGCTGGCTCACCTTTGCTTTGAGCTGCTAAAACACATGAATAGTTTCTAAGTAAACAGTTGCTGTGATTGCTAAAAGGATGATGTATGATCATGAATGGGAATGGTGCTGTTCCTCACAACTGTGAATAGGAGATAGAGTGGTCCCTGGAGCACTTTCTTTAAGTGGTTCACCTTATAAGAATGTTTGGGAATGTGATAGGGTATATTAGGCCCAAAGACAGCCCCCCCCCCTCCCCAGGAGCCCTTACAGTCCTACATATGCCATTCCTGAAAGGAGCAGTAGAGAAGTCCTCCAGGTTGCCTACCATGGCTGTGGGGGAAGCAGCCAATCAGAGGGAGTTAGCAGGGAGCAGCCAGTCCAGGCCTGGCAAGGACATGTAAAAGAGCTTCAGGGCTCACTTGAGCCAATCAGTTGCTATCTGGAGCTGGCGGAGTGTGGAGGGTATTCCTGGCTGGCTGAAGGAGGTACAGGACCATGAGCAGAGATTTTTGCAGGCAGGGATAAAGGAAGCAAGAAGGTGCTCCTGGTTGGCTGCTGGGACTGAATACAATACTTTAGTCCTGTTGTAAGGGTAAAGTGGTTGTGAAGGTGCTGGGGCTACAGAGAAATGGCCCTGGGAACTGTAGCAGCAGTGCAGTTTAGTTAAAGCAGGGGTGGGGAACCTCAGGCCTGGGTGCCAGATGCAGCCCCTGGCTTGCCTGGATCTGGCTCACAAAGCTCAAGACTCCCCCCAGCATTGGGGAGCCTGCACTGGTGCTCAAGCCCCATCCTCCCTGACTCATTTTTCTGTGGGTCAGCACAGAAGGTTTCCCACCCCTGGGTTAAAGGGATCTAGTGAATGGCTACTATTTGTACGGTACCTGAGCTAGGACCTGGAGTAGTGGGCAGATGCCAGTCCCCCTATTAGCCACTGTGGAAGTGGCCTGAACCTTGATCTGTGCTAGAAGGGGAACTTAACAGGTAGGTGGTCCAGCTGGAGATTTAGACTAGAAAGGGCCAGAGTGTGCAAAGAGTGACTAGAGAGGAAGCCCTGGGGACAAGGCTCCATACCAGGGTTGAGAGACATTTGATGGTTGCAAGACTGATAAGGATTGAACTTATGGACGGCTACAGGAAGAGGGTATCATGACAGGTTCTGTTGGATTTTTGACCCCCAAAGTGGCTAGAAAGTTGAGTCACTGAACACTCACTTGAACTGAGAAAAAAGCAGCCTCATGCCCCACTTGACCAGTGGGCACTCTGCTGAGGCGAGTGCACACCTCCATCACAGGGAACCTCAGTGAAAGAGTATCTTCTGGTCGATCGAGCTAAAATGTATTCAAAATACTGACTTTTTTACGGATCACTTTTTGTTTCGTTCTTTATTTTACAAATATGGCCCTGTTTTTGCAGCAGGTTCTTCTACAGAGCCCACTTCATACAAAGATATCTTTAAAAACATACAAAACAAACTTATTTTGTATTTCTGAGCCATTACATTACAATTTTAAAAATGTTGCAAAAATGTTAACGTATATAATCTTTACAACCAGAACATCCCTTTTTTTCATTTACTGTGTTTCTCCATCAACAATCCTATTAAAATGCATTACAGTTTATCTGTACTCTTACTAACTGTCCATATGAAAAATATTTCTTGGTTATAGCCAGTGTTCTCCTTAGTTTTTTCCATCCATGTGCAGAATAATTTTAATTATGTGCAGTGAGGAGTGTAGATGTGCACTACCAGCAGAAACACATGTAGCTGGCTTGGCTTCTCTGTTAATCAGCTAAGCAGCATTTGAATCTCTCCTGAGTGGCCACTCAAGCACCCAGGCTATGTCTACACTACGGGTTTTCTCGGCAAAAAATATGCTAATGAGAGGCTCAGTTGCATGAGTCGCGATCTCAATTGCATATTTTCTGCCGATCCAGTTTTGCACTGTGGTTTTTGTGCAAAAACAAGCAGTGTGGACGTTTTCTTTTTGCACCAAACCCCTTTTCCCGCAAGATCCTTATGCCCCAAAAAAGGTTTACTGATCCTGCGGAAAAAGGGTTTTTTGCACAAAAAGGAAATGTCCACACTGCTTGTTTTTGTGCAGAAACCCCAATGCAAAAACAGATCAGCAGAAAATATGCAAATGAGATTGCGACTCATGCAAATGAGCCTCTCATAAGCATATTTTTTGCCGAGAAAACTCGTAGTGTAGACGTAGCCTCAGATTACAGGGAACACTGGTTAAGCCACACTACAGTGTGCATTACATTTCATTAAAATTCCAATTTAAATGATACACTTAAAAGGTGATGGGGTACTAGAGTAGGAGGCAGGAGACTTGGGTTGTATTCTATTCTCTGCCACTGACTGTCTCTGTAATCTTGGGCAAATCACTTCGCATCTGCTCCTCTGTGCCTCCATTTCCCCTTCTAACCTTTGACTCGCCTTCTCTTTAGAAAGTAAAGTCTTCAGGACAGCGGGTCACTTACTATGGGTGAAATCCTTGTGATGTTGAAATCAGTTTTATTCAAATTATAATTAATTTGACCCCATCTCCAACAAAACAATAGGTTTTGTTTTCTATTTCCACCTTCTATGGTCCTCTGGGATTAACAGTAACATGATAGATGTGGTGCCTATGAAATATGAATGAGTTTAAGTTGTTTGCTGTCTTCCCCTAACATTACCAGTACACTGAGAACAAATGAGTTTTGTTTTAAATGGAGCTTCTGCACTAACCCATTTTAAAAAATTACCTGCTGTTCAAACTCTTTTATCGCACAAATACTTTGTCCAGTGAACACTTCCCCCACCTTTGTTAAAGTGAGGGCAGCAGACAATACATGAGGAAACAGGAAGCAGAAAGGAGACTTTTCTGAGCAATTTAGGAGGCTGAGGCATCTAATAGATAAAGGTATAGAGCAGTCTCTGTTTTATGGACTCAATTGTGCAAGATATTCAGCAAGCCTGGGAGGTGCAGAATGTCCAATTCCCACTGGAACCTAAAATACAGAGTGTTCACAGCTTTTAAGGCACAACAAGGAGTTGGATATCCAGCCTTCTAGTTTGGTTACATAATCTGTAGATTCCCTCCTCCTACTTCTGTTTGGAATAACCACAGTCATTGAACTTAACAGAATTTTGCAGCTATGGGCCCTAAATTTGTGACTAAAGCTATCTATTTTTTTCATTTGGTGCTTGCAGTTTTGTGGTGCAATCACCACTCTTTATTCACTGGAGTGGATTCTTAGTCCAGTCTTGTTACATAAAATAGTAGTAGTAGTCATTCCTATACATTACCACCTTTACAGATATAGGCAAACTCTCTAGGGCTGGTGGAAATGTTTTCCTATACTTTTATTTCTTCCTCCTTTATTAAAGTACATAAAGACCCAGAATACCTGTATCTATGTTAAGATATACCTTATTTCTCATATAATCCCAGTGAAACAAATTGTCGTAATAAGGTAGGTGCTACATGATTTAAGGATATTTTGATCTAGTCCTTAATGAGGATCACCCATACCATAGTTTTATCATATTTACTGTGTTGATGTTTATTTTAAATCTCTTCTTGATTTTAATGTCTTCTAAATCAATCTTATAAAACCAGATATTTTGCAGATATTTTACAGATATTTGGTCATTGTTGAAAGTGGCGGAGATTAACCTTTTTGCCTGGAATGTAATTAAAAATCTACATCAGGCTAGTACATGAGATCAACTGCTCCAGTAGTTGTCTCTGACTCTTTAGATTTTGAAAAAGGAAATTTAAATCCAGCAAGCCGAATTAGCAAAACATTCAGGAAGTGCACCAAGAAGCAAACCAGGATGATCCAGAATGAATCCTCAAATTGTTCACTGTGAGTTTTAAAGATGAAACTTCCCTCTTGGTAATTTGCAATTTTCTCAGAGAGGTGGTGAATTTTCACTTCTGAAGAAAATAGTATCATGATGAGACAACTGCAAGAACCTGAAATAGAACAAGAAACATCACTGTTCTAAAAATTTCCCAACAACAAATCTTTATGAGCACATACAAATAACCAAAAAGTAAAATGCCATTTTCATTACATTTCAATATTTTCTATTACATGTTAGCGTCACTTAACAGACTCCTTCCCAGTGGCTTCTTTTTCAGGACCTGAGCTAATGACCATCAGAGTCAATGGTATTCTTTCCATCGACTACAGTGAATTTTCAATTAGGACCTAAATAGCCAACCATACCAAGTATTATGTCTGGTGTAAGGCCACAGCTTCAGCAAAGCATCTATGCAAGCCTATGAATAATCCAATTGATGTTAATGGGACTGCCCAGGTACCTAAAGTTAAGTATGTACTTAAATACTTTGCTGATCAGGGTCTTAATGAGCAACAGCCCTTTGCAGAATTGCACCTTTTTCTCTCCAGCTCAATGAAAAATAAATATACTCTTGCTTCGAATCTAATTTGCTTCATTTTCTGTACAGGCAGTCCCCGGGTTACGTACAAGATAGGGACTGTAGGTTTGTTCTTAAGTTGAATCTGTATGTAAGTCGGAATTGGTGTCAGCTGCTGCTGAAACTGATCAGCGGCTGATTCCAGGAAGCCTGGGGCAGAGCAACTCTGCCTCGGGCTTCCTGTAGTCAGC